TTTTTTATTATTATTATGATTGTTATCTTTATTAAATTTAATGGGTTTGTCATATCTTACCTTTTCTTTACCTCCTGGAAATTTCAAATATCTGAACAGTCTTTAAATTAAAATTACAGTAGAAAATACCTCAATATTAAAAATAAAATCTGCATCACAGTACCGCCCAACATACCTGGTAAAGTAATTTTTTTTTTTTTTGTTTTGTGGTCATATCACCTAGGCCTAGGTAGAAGCTGAGCAGAATAAATATTTTGTAGGTAATTCTTGTGGAAGACACGTGTTTGTGTAATCCTATGTGGGACTGTCACGATAAACAATAAATCAATTAATCGCATGATAAATGAAAATTATCTACCTCATTTTCATTTATCAGCTTTATCGTTTCTTCATGTCTCTCTCTTTCTACTGAAGACACTGGATGACAAAAGGCTCAACTCTGGTGCTCTTCAATGAGGCTCACAATAATAATAATACAGTAATTACTAATTATTGTCAAATTTCAAACAATATTATCGTTTATCGCTATAATTTCTGAGACAATTAATCGCCCGGCAAAATGTGTTGTCGTGACAGGCCTAATCCTATGCACAGTGTATTTTAGGTTCATGTCAAACTTCTTGGTCAAGGTCTTATCCTTTTTGATGATTATATTTACTGCCGTGCAGGATTATTTGTAGTTTTTGGAGGTTAACCTGTCATGGCTCCTGTCTGGTTGCAGGTTTTATCTCGGTAAGCACAGTGGGAGGCAGCTCACGCTGCAGCATCACATGGGCTCTGCAGATCTAAATGCTACTTTCTACGGTCCCATCAAAAAGGTATGTCCCACCTTTGACGGGGAGAGTCAGCATTTTTTAGTTTATTGCATTGTAAAACTAATTATTTACATTTTTTAATTACTTTCAAGCTGGGAATTTAAAATTGTCAAAAGCGCACATTTAATTTTAGTGGTGCGTTAATATTTTAGAACTGTAGTGTTTTTGTATCCTAAATTTATCCTTTATATCAACACAATTAAAACACAAGGTCAGGTTTGAATTGATTATGTTGTTAGAGCTGCTAGACCTTCAAGTACTTTTTAAAATATGTTATTTTATAACCACTGAAGCCAAAAAGAAACCCTCTTTGTGTTTTTTGGTACCGTTGTAGGTGTTTGAGTACCTTAATGAATGTTTATCATGTCAACAGGAGGATGGGTCAGAGGTCGTAGTAGGCGGGGCTCAAGTGACGGGCTCAAACACCCGGAAGCACATCCTACAGGTGTCCACTTTTCAGATGACCATCCTCATGCTCTTCAACAACAGAGAGAAATCCACCTTTGAGGTTCATGACTCATCTTGTTACTGTCTCACACACACACGTTAGCATTACCTTAGAGGGTTTGGTCAAACATTGAGAAAACTGGAAGCGTTAAAAAGATTAAAATGTAAATTAGTCCACATTTAGTCTCCTGTTGTAGAGAGAGCTTTTGTAATATTTACAATGTTTGAACAAAACACAAAGCAAGTCACCTCAGCTACTTTTAGGGAAATTATTGAATTTTTATATGCCCGTCCAAGGCAGACATATTATGGTATGATCCGTCTGTCTGTCCATAAACTGTCTCTTGTCTCGCTCATAGCTTCTGATCCACTCAACATAATTCATTGAAACTTCATTCACAAATACCTCATGGCTAGACGGAACGTCGCATATGCAGACCGCACGATGGCTCAGTGGTTAGCACTGTTGTCTCGCAGCAAGAAGGTCCTGGGTTCAATCCCCGATTGGACCTAGGGTCTTTCTGTGTGGAGTTTGCATGTTCTTCTCGTGCTTGTGTGGGTTTTCTCCGGGTACTCCGGTTTCCTCCCACAGTACAAAAACATGCATGTTAGTCTACCTTCAGGTCCAGGCCTCCCTTGCAAAAGAGATCTGTGATCTCAGTGGGATTTGCCTGGTTAAATAAAGGTTAATTAATTAAATGCACTTTTCATCATCGCAGCCTCAAGGTCAAGGCCACAAATCAAGGTCAAATGTACAAGGTCTTCAATTGTCCAGACCATAACTTCTGATTTGCTCAAGATAATTTAACGAAACGATGCACATTTGTACCACTACTAGACGGTGTTGCGTAATCTTTTACTTACCGCAGCTCTGAGGTCAAGGTCACAAATCAAGGTCAGAAATTATACATGGTCTTTGCATGTCCATGCTATTACTATGGATTGCTGTATAATGGTTTGTCAACAGGTGTATAATGTGCCATATGGGGTACTTTTGTTCTGTTTTTCTTTTGTCTTTTCTTAGGTAAATATAAATAGCTTTATGTTTTAAATTATACTGGCAAGTGTTATCAGCTTTCTCTATTACAACACCCCAAAATGCATAAATAAAAAAATACAGTTACGGCCCACCATGTCATTAAAACAATACACTGTGTGAAAAACAACTTAAAAAGAACTGTTTTTGCATTTCTAAGCACAACTTCTGCATGAAATGTAGATTTTGAGAGAAGTTAAGTTTCGCTGTCTTCACGGTGCAGGAAATCCAGCAGGAGACGGATATCCCGGAGAGGGAGCTGGTGCGAGCGCTCCAGTCTTTGGCCTGTGGGAAACCCACACAGAGAGTTCTTACCAAGGAGCCCAAGTCTAAAGAGATCGAGAACGGCCATGCGTTTACAGTCAATGACCAGTTTACCTCTAAACTGCACCGCGTCAAAATCCAGACAGGTACACAAACAATCCAACGTTGATCTGTTTTTGTAAGATGCAGAAAAAACTGCATTTTATGTTGAGACTACTTTGTGTTTTTTTAAATTCGTATTAAATGAAGATATTATTTTTTCATAAATATTGTAGAGGTACATTTTCATGAATAATACAAAGTTTAATTAAATGTGTCTTAAGTGATGCTTTTAGAGTTGTTTCTCAGATGTTCCCAGTCACAAGCTTCTCTAATTGACAAGACTGAACATGAGCATGAGCATGCTACTTTCCTACCTGTGATAACAAGCACATCTTGTGCGATGGGTTAAATGCAGAGAGACAGTTTCGTCTTTGTATGGAAACATACAATGATGACAACACATAGCACTTTATTTATTTATTTTATCTTGCAATTATAGTTTTTGTTTTTTCCCCCCAAGAATTTAACTTTTGACTTTTTTTTTATTAAGCAAAACTGTGATATCACCTGGTGTTCATCGGTGGTTAAAACATGTAGCATGCATGAATAGGACAATCTTGAAGTAAGGATATGTAAATAATTTTAATGCCTTAATGCTCTGATAATATTTATTAAACTCCTAAATTGGGACCTGCTGCATAACTAGCTTTAGTAGCACTTTATGTCTCTTGCAATTATTTTTCTTTGCTGTACTTCTAGTGGCTGCTAAACAGGGAGAGTCTGATCCAGAGCGGAAGGAGACACGGCAGAAAGTGGACGACGACAGAAAGCACGAGATTGAAGCTGCTATTGTTCGCATCATGAAATCTAGGAAGAAGATGCAGCACAATGTTCTAGTAGCAGAGGTCAGTCGGCTAACATGGTTGCTTTTGAGTTTTAAAGAGCAGCTAAAATTTATTTAATCTGTAAAATTCAAATATGGTACATTTCGTTCACATTTTTCATGGTAGAGTTTATTTCCCAGAGAATGCTCTTGGACCAGTTTTGGATACACGAGACAAAACGCCTGCAGAGGGATTTACTGCTCGTGCTGTTACAGAAGCACGATCCGTAGTGTACTTCCAGGTCCCATGGATCACCGTTGTTTATGAAGAAAAACCGTCTTAATTTACTTAGAAAACTACGTGCTTTATCTCCGCTGATCTTCATGCAGCTCATTTACGCCACTCGTATTTCCGTTACAAATCATTGGTTAAGATGATATGCGACGCATTAGACCTGACCCCCCAGCCTGGGCTGAATGAGGAAAACCTGCAAGATACAGAATGAATTATTTCCATAGTGGTGAAGCTGCAGATCACCTTAACCATGACGTAAACATGTCGATGATTTTAACAGAAATGCGAGTGGCATAAATAAGCAACAGATGAACATGTGGTACTTCCTGTTTATCACTGTTGTATTCAGCTGCTCATGAGGTCACCTGCTGGCTTTTATCTTTTATCTTTTACATTTTTCCAGACTTGGTTTAGGTTTTGGAAATGGAATAAACTGTATTGTATATAAACTGTTTAGTGCCCTGAGACGGCTTCTGTTGTGATTTGGTGCTATATAAATAAACTGAATTGAATTGTATTCCACTGTAAACCTTCAGGGTAACACATGTCTGAATATTCCCCACTAACGACGTTTAACACCCCCCCCCCACCCGATGATTTTCCACAAAGTCCCTCTGACCGCAAAGCGTTTAAATTGCAAAAGCCCAACAGTGTTGTCCGGGGGGGGGGGGGGGGGGCAGTTCATGCAGGTAAGGGGTGTTCAGGCACTTCAGGACAAATTGAAAATGCTGATTGGTCAGTTGCTACGAGTCTTTTGGATTGATTGACAGGTGGCGTAGAGGGTCTGACGTGTGCAAAAAATCCTAGATTTTACTGGCCAGTTTAAGAGTGTCATAATTTATCCCATAGTCATTCCAAATTTATTCAATATTTTGGTGAATCTAAGGTTTGAGAACTACTTGAAAGCTTCCTTACAAAATTGTAATGATGGTTTCTAAATTTTAACTCGGCACCCCCTAAAAGAGGCTAAAATCGCCGCTGGTCATCACTACGTCACATTACTGAGCCACACAGCCAGCTAATCTTTTCACGTTTACAGTAACTACGTCCCTTGGTGGCACATGGGCATATTAGGGGTGGGTTGGCCTCAGTCCTCTGATGCTGCCTCAGTCCTTTCAGGACTTGCACAGAGGAGACCCAAACGTGTCTTAGACCTCGTGTTACGACCACCAAGGGCACAACATAAGAGGACACGGACTCAAATATGAGGGTTCAGACATTCTATTTATTTAGGTTCTGATTCGCTTCATGTTTTTCCTTAAACTTTTGTTCACTCCGCTGCTTTCTGCAAGGAAAAAGAGAAGATTAGGAACCCCCACTTCCCGTGTCCAACCAAAAACAACAAAGTATTAAACAGAAAGATGGACCTGGTGAGTCGGTCACACAGAACAAAAAGGTACAGCAGAGGACCAGCTCTATACTGGGCCGTCGAAGCCACTGCTGGTACCAGACTGAAACTAGAAAACACCTACTGCAAAAGAAAGAAGCGAGAACAAGATACTGTCCAGATGACCCGACTGAGAATTATTGTATTTGGTACCTGGATGATTGAGCATGAACTTTAAGAAAGCCGGTCCCACCAGGCCAAAATCACAACAAAAACAGACAAAAGTTAAGAAAAAACTGGTGGTGGAGTGAGCGAGAGAAGAACAGAGGGCGGCCAAGGTCAGCTTATTTATAGGCAGCCGGAAAAACTCCACAACTTAACACAAATGTTAATTACAAAAGATATAATTAACCAACTGCCCCAAAAAAAATTCATTGGACAAAATAAATGATTTAACTAAAATCCATAAACAAAAACAATCCAGAAAACAGGCAAAAATAAGAAATAATGTGCCCCAAAGCACATAACATCTGGACTGAAGTAATTTGTTTGTGCCTCATGAAACAAAGAGATGCTGCTACGGTCAGAGTGAATAATGACAGGATGGAAAGAAATGTCGTGCTGTGAACTGACGGCTGCCTTCTGTGTCTCCACAGGTCACACAGCAGTTGCGAGCACGATTCCTTCCTAGTCCTGTAGTCATCAAGAAGCGCATTGAAGGACTCATTGAGCGGGAATATTTGGCAAGGACACCAGAGGACCGCAAAGTATATACTTACGTAGCGTAACGAGTGAATGACTAGAACGCTAGCATGAAGTTGAGGTAACTGAGGGCCTTGTTTTATGGACTGCCATGTGTTTGAATGAACTTGGAAGTGCTATCTACGATTCTGGGAAACACTGGGAAGCCGACATTTTCTTCCATAAAAATGTGTAAAAAGAAAAAAAAAATGCAAGAGGTGGCGAAGTTTTCTAGCAATATTAGATTTCTTCTGCTATAAGAAAATGAGGGAGAATCTAGTTTTGTAAAAAAATAAATAAAATAAAAAAATAGTGTTTCTTCCTGTGGCCTTTGAAGAGAACTGGGTGAGCCTGTTTGCCAGTTAATTTCACTGTCAAGAACTCGGGGCCACGTGGAGACCAAGAGGACATTTGAACTCCCCTGTTTTAAATGTTGATGACGTCAGTGTGTTCTGTTTGTGTCCGTGGCACAAGAATGGCTGTACAGGTTGACGGACGCTCTCGGCCCTTTCCTCCTAGAGGAGTTTTACATATAAAACAAAGAATGGAGTGTTAACTGGTACAGACCTGCTTTACACTAAAGTACAATTTGGAGATTAGATAACAAGATGCTTAAGTTATTTGTTTTGCAGGGGTTATTTTATATATACATACTGTGCACCTCACTCTGCTGAAATATATATTAAATGCCATTTTCAGTCATTTCACCAGGTCTGTACTGTGTCCAGAGATTAAGGGCTGTTGGGTAAACACGTGTTTTTAACGGGTCAGTCAGAGGAATAAGACCTGAAACTTCTCAACGCTTGGTTCCTCATGGCACATTTATTTCCATTGAAGGCCTGTTGTGTGATCAGCCAAAAATTATATTGTTTTTCAAGGTTTCTCGTGGTGCAGGTTTCAAAAGAGGATTTTATTTTGCTTTGTCCTTTTTTTTTTTTTGCTGAACAGGAGAAACCAGTTTAGCACCATGCTCTACTATGTACAAATTGTAAAATAATTGTACTCACTGCAAAGGTGGATTGTACAGGGCCTTGTTTTCATCATATTAAATGTAGAATTACAGAAATATTTAAAAAAGTTTTTTGTTTGTTCTTTGTTTTAATTTTATTTTGGTTTTAACGATGGAGCATCACATACTAGCCTCAGTAACCACAACTAGAACTATATTTAAATGCAAAACTGCAAGTATATTTTCTGTGATCAGAGGGACTGGATTCCCATCAAATCCCATTTATACATATATATATATATATATATATATATATATGTGTATATATATGTGTGTGTATATATGTGTATATATATATATATATATATATAAACTGAGTCAAATAGTAACAAAGCAGATTGACAAGTTCATCTACTTTTGGTTATCGGAGTGACAAATCCCAGCTGTCGCTGATCCAGATGTTCAGAAGTTTATTTTGAATCGAGTAAGACCAGGACCAGAACGTCAAGCACTTGACTGACAAAGACTTGTGAATTTTATTCAGTAGGAATCATTTATAATAAAATGGCAAATAGGCTCAATCTTTAAAAAAAAATAAAAAAATTTAAACGTGTAAAATTTGATTCAAAGATAATAAAGTATGAATTTTAGTTTTTATCCAACAAAATAAAACTTCAAGTCTTAACGTACAACTTCATGTGGTCTGATGAAATAATCTGCTGCGGGGGGTGATTTGTATCAAAAAGTTCTGACGTTTCCAAATTTGCTTTTCGTTGGAGTTTAATGTTTTGGATCCTGACAGCAGGTAACATGTAGCGTGTCAAAAACAACATACAGTAACATTTACTGCACCCGTCTGGATGATACCAAGATTTTATTCCTGCCTAGTGATTTACATGAACAGCAGATGAGCATTGCAGCAAATGAAATGAGTGTTGTCTTTATTTCATGCTGATGGTTAATTAAAATTTCAAAAGGTTGTGTTATAATTTCCAGGCTGTTCCAGACATCTCCCCTCCACATACTGAAGTTTACTGCATTAACAGTACAAAACTACTTTATAAAACGATTCAAAAACAACACCGTTGGCCAAAGTGCTGTACTTTAACAAGCAAGCATAAAAACCATCAAAAAGAAGCTGAAACCGTAACGAACTATTAAAATCAAATAAACAATAAGACAAATAAAAACAGTAAACAAAGGTGTTTTCCTGCTCTGATTATTGGCGCATGTCCTTTGTCTCAGGCTCGTGCCATCTGCTCCGTCGTTATTAATATTACAAAAGGCGGCTTTGGATTTAAAGCAGCATCAGTGCTGCTGATGCTCTTCGCCTACATTTTCTCTAAACGAACCCGAGTGTTTCCTCTAACTTTACTACTTTGTTTTTGTGGGATTTTAACACATTTGAACCGTGACGTCAGTGTCCCAGAAAAGCGGTGCGCTCGTTTTCCGCCCCCCTCCTCCGACGGGCTGTGGTGAATTAGAACGGGATGCTTGGCACTCCGGGTCCGGGTTGTTACAAGAACAGCTGGGCCTCTCCGGCCGGGGCGCTGGGCCCGATGTGAGGGTGTGCACCGAATGATGTGGCGGAGAGTGGCCGACGATGAGAACTTGGACTCTGGAGCAGAAACAGCCGCGTGAGTTTAGTCTCCGCGTTAGCTTCAGGCTAACGTTAGCGTTAGCTTTTCAGCGGCAGCCACAATGGAAATTAATTTTGACCCAAGACAGTACGTTTTGATTAATATAACGTCTGGAGCTAAACTAAACACTGTGCAATGCTGTTATTGCACTTTAATTGTGCGTTTTCTTTTCTTCTGTACTTATACGTGATAGTTCTGTCATAAATTAACTTTTTTTTGGTTGTTGCAAGCTAACATAAAGGGTTGTCATGGTGACCAAAAGCAATGGGCAGGTTTCCAAAGCAACCGCCACAAGATGGAGACACATTTTTGTCTTTTTCACTTCATATGCCTCTTTTTTCTTCTTCTTTTCTTTTAGATCTGACTGGAGCAAGATTACATTGTCTGCCAGTAAGTTTTCTATAACTCATTAAATCAAACTTTATAAAGAGCCCAACGTATTGTTCAAAATCTGAAATTGTCGTTTTATATGCACATTAATTAATAATAATAAAAAACAAGCAATTAACACTTAATCACACGCTTTTGCAAATTTGAACATTTAGCTAACCCAATTTTTAGTTTTCACTTCAATTCAGTGTATTTCTATAGCGCCAAGTCACAGCAGACGTCATCTCTGAACAGAAACATTCATACTGTATAAAAATAATTTAACATTATTTATCTGAGGAGCAGACTGATTTGAGTTTAACTCCATCACAGACTCTCATCCTGAGCAAGCATGAAGGAGACAGTGGAAAGAAAAAACTCCCTCATGAGGAAGAAACCTTTAGCAGAACCAGGTTCAGGACAAGCGGTCATCTGCTTGGACCGGCTGAGTTTGAGAGGAACAGATGCACAATGGCAGGTTGAGAATCACGTTACGATAGAAATAATATAAATGGAAAACTATTCAATTTTAGCAAATCATTTAAGGACATGAGGTCATTTTGTCCTCCAGTAGTCTGAGTCTATAGCAGCATCCTGTCTTTAAACTGGACAATGTGTCAGCCTCATGGACAGAAACTGGAAGTTGGTTCCACAAGAGAGGAGCCTGATAACTGGAAGATC